AATTGATGAATGTATTTTTCAACCTAATCCCCTCAAAAGTTTGAAACTACAGTTTAAAAATCCCATTCATTGAGAATTAACTGGTAGGATGTTGAGGCCAAGGCAGCTAAGACTATGGTAATTTATGTGCCTCAGTTGGATTTTTTGAGGAAAGGGGGCAAAGTTTGGAAGCAATTAGTTGGAGATCACAGCAAAGTTCATGAGAATATTGACTTAGCTTGAGAAGTAGAGTATGAAAAAAAATTCTCCCACCCCACCAAACAGATGGTCCTAGTTTAAAGGTGGCCCAATAGGGGCTGGACAGAAAAAAAGGAAAATGAGCAATACCTGATTCAATCCAAGAGGAGAAGACCTTTAAATTTACCTTTCTTTCTTTACATCCTACAGTACATCCATGGTTTGACTGGTCCCTTTTTCCATGGGGAGTCAGTTTTATTCCTTACTAATTCTGATTCAGTTCAGGCTGACTAATATTTGGTCCAAACCCACATGGAAAAAGTTTTGAGTAAAAGAGATTATCTTTACTTTCAAATTCTGAGCAAAACTAAGGTGCTGCTCAATCCCCACTGGAATATGGATGTTCAGTGGGATGTTTAAAATTTTGAACGTCGGTTAATGCAATCTGTCAGATCTGACAAAACTTGTTGTTTATTCCTGGCAACAAGGAAATTTTTTCTCAATCTGTTGTTCTCTTCTTTGCATTAATAAAGTGAAGTTTTTGTACCCACCAAAGGAGAAAGAACCCCTTTTCTTCCTGGCTGGTTAAGCCTGGGTCTATGGCCTTCCGAGCAGAGTAGTGGTTAGATCTCGGCTGCACTCACACCCTGCTAAGGGCATCACTATTCATGCTCTGAGGTATTTCTAGGTTAGGTAACTGGCCTAGATGAGGAGTCACTGCATTCACACTGATATGTCTGCAGACATAGGGGTTTCTGAGAGAATAAATAAACATTTGTAGCCTGTAAGGTTATTATCCCTCCTCCCCCCAGGTGTAGATATCCTTATTCTTAAAATTTGGGAAATTGGTGGTATATATGGGTGGAAAATAGAGAATGTCTGTCCTCTCTAAAGACCACGTACAAGAGTTCCATTCATGATGGTTAAAATGCCCAAGTTTTAGAAGTTCTTGAGGAATTGTGGAGATCTGCCAGAGGAAGACTGACAGAATAAAGGTAATTAATCTACAAATCAAAGACTTTCTACAAAGTTGAAAATTGAATGGGCTGCTGAATTGATTGTGAGTACTTAGGCAAAAGGAAGCATGATATCCTTTTGTGCAAATTCCCTAGAAATTAACTTTATTTCTATGATTGACAGACTGATACATTAGGGCCTGAGTCCCTGATACAGTAGATGGGCTATTTCATGCTATCCTTGTGAAGAAGTTGGAGAAACGTGGATGAGGCTGCAGGAGTAAAGTGAATTTACCTGTATCGAACATTTACATCAATGAGCATGAATTATCGCAGGATTCTGGAGGACCTGAAAGGCATGGGGATATTTAACCCAGAAAAGGAAAAAAAGTTTTCTTTTTTTCCCCTTTGGAGGAATAAGCATAACAGGTGTTTTAAAATACTTTTAACAGCTCTATCATCAAAGAGGAATTAGACATGCCTTGTATCTCAAGGAGGAGAATTTGGGATTAGGGAAGCAGATTTCCTAATGTAAGGGAAAAGGTTTCTGTCAATCAATCTAATGGAATGGGCCGTCTTTTGAGGTAGCAAATATTATTTTCCTCACAAGTTCAAGAAGAGACCAGTCACCTTTCTAGGACATTATTTAGTAGTTGCTTGTATTAAAGGGAAATTGGATAAGATAATTTCTTCCGGTCTTTTCTAAACTTCTAGATACTGAGATAAAGTTGGAGAAGTTAATGATCAGAAAGCAAATGAACATCTTCCTCTTTTTCATCATGACTAAAGGAGCATATTACGTTTTGTCACAGAAAAGGCTTACGTTCCTAAGTGCCTGGGATTAGAGATAAACCAGGAATAAGGAAACTTTATAAATCCACAAATAAGAATTTCCTAAAAGCATCACATCATGATATAAGCCATCAGAAAGGGGGCAGGTACTGCATTCTTTTTTTCAAAAGACAAGAATATTTTTCAGATGTATTCAATCCAATTGGAATTGTGATTGCCATATAATAATTTGAACTATGAATATTGCATTTTCTCTCACATTCTAGGAGCAGTTTGTCTGAAAACCAGATCCCTTTGCAAATGTAAGTAAATCTTTTTCTTAGTGTTTGAAGTTATCTGCAAGTTTTCCTTTTCCTTTTTAGATTGTGGAGGATCTTGATTCCCATTTTAGGAAGTTGATAGATTTTGAATTCTTCTGACATGTGACCTATATTGAGAAATACAGTTTATACCTTGACCCATATATGCATTATAACTGAAGCCAAGTATTTGAGAAATAACACTTATACTTATGCACTGGTATAATACCCTGAAATTTTCAATTCCGTTCATTAATAATTACTGTTCATGCCCCACTAATTTCACAGAATTTGCAGATGAGAAAAACCCACTACCATAGTCAATAGTTAGTTGCTAGAGATGCAAATAATGACAGAATAAATGAGAGAATGGAGGTTTTGCCACTTAAGGCATTCTATAAACTAGTTACAGAAAGATAAAGTTTGCATATATACTGCATGAAAAGTCCTGGGGTTTGCAATACATTTACATATTCCTCTTCATTTCCTTTCTTCTTGTCTTTTCAGCCTCCTCTCCCCGCCTCCCAGAGAAAACCACACACCCCTTACAGAAGCCACCCGAAACATGAAAGTCCATGCGAGAGATACTTAGATAGACTGCATTCACTCTGTGTATCTTAAAGCTTTACATTTAGAGAAGCAAGTTTTAGCCTAAAGCACGTCTGTCTGTTTACGAACACCTTCAGGTGACTATGAAGATAATGGAATTGCTGATACACTGCTCATAGCTGCTTGGGTAACCATTCTTTTATTATCAGGAAGGCAAATGCAATTTTTAAGATCAAAGCGGACATCTCTTGGAAGCTCCATTTATTACAAAAGGCTAAGGTGTCCACATTCCTAGGAATCAAAGGGACTGAAAAGCCAGAAAAGCAGTAGTATTCAAGAGGTGAATGCAATCCTTGATGGAGAGCAACCACCGAAGTCGGTGACAGGAACAAGAGGTAATTTAATTCTGAAAGTTACCAACTCTGCAAGCTCTGGGGTTAAGCAAGGTGCCTGATATGGTGATTGCCACAGCCAGGGTCTGCCTGACACACCATTTCAGCTGCCAGTGCAGGGACTGAGAATACTTTCATAGTTTTCACCATCTGAGATTCCCTTGGTACCGTTTTGAACCCATTTCCGCTGAGAACAGGAGCCCCACTCAGCGACTGCAGGGGAAGTAAAGTAGAAGGTCATTATAACCCAGGCACTGTTACAGAGTATTTGGAAAACCATCCTGGATGAATTCTAGCCCTGAAAACATGGCCACCTCAGAGAGTAGCAACCAGACTGTGGCCGTTTCCCTATCAGCTGCCATCTAATGGCAGTTCCACCATATTTAGGGTCCTTCTGTATCCTCCCCCAAGCCCCAACCTGGCTTTAAATCCCCCGTAGACCCCTTTGCCAAGGCTTTCCGATGGTTAACTTCAGGAAAGCCTGACAAACATCTATCTCTCCAGCTGGGCCCTCTTCAAATGCTTACTGGAAACTCCACCGCTAAAGAACTTTTCTAGTAGTTTTGAATATCCTTGAAATCTTGGCCAAAGCATTTGGAAGAGTTAACAGTGGGTCTTTATTATTTCTTCTCAACAACTTTCCAGCCATTTCAGAGTATGAAGAGGCCTTCGGAAATTCTGGATACTTGATAAGTGTGCTTCATATTACAAAATAAATCTTTTACCTCTCCCTTTTCATCAGGCTAATGTCTTCTGAAATCCCCTCAGCATTCCTGAGAGTTTATCTTTCCAGAGACTAGAATTGCAAGAAGCATTTTCTTGATGTTTATCGCATTATTTTTTGTAGTTTAAAGGGTTAGTGTTACAGAAGTGGTTTTTATACTTGGGAGCTTCGCCACTGCAAACTTTTACTGCCCATATTATTAACGAAAAGACAATATTGATTTTAACACATTTTAAACACATCCTTAGAAAGTATGCAAAGCCTCAATCACAGACATTCTTCTTGTCCTAAGAAAAAATATATGATAGTTTTAAATTTATGAAAATTTTAATGTGATCAAAAGGATACAGCCGGAGGAATAGATAATAGTATGCCTTGGGCAATCTCTGGCCTGACTTTTGGAGAAAGTTCACCATTCGCCGGTAATGGTCCTAAGAGTTGGGCAAACTAAGCTAAATATATATATTTTTTCTTTTTCTTAACATGCACAATTCTCATGTCCACACTGAAAAAATAAAGAACTTAACTTTGTAGAGACCAATAGATTATTGTAAATTCTTATCTATATAGAATTTAAATTAATGGCAGGGTTATCAAAGATTATTTATGCCAGATATATCATTTTGATTGAACTCCCCAAGTTTAAGTTATGGGAGCACCTACTCAGAAACACCACCTTCCCTCATAATTCCCAACAGGGTGTAAACAGAGGCTTAAATACTGCTTCATATTTTATATCATTTAAAGTAAAATAGTTAATTTAAATGATTCTTTAGGGAAAAGGCAAAAGAACAGAGAGAACTGAGAAGAGGAAGAGAACATCTACAAGGAGAATATGCATTTTCAGTGAACTCTGCCTTTTCCTGATTCTCACGTCCGCACACTTCCTCTGCTGCTTAGCAAAGTTTGACAAGGGATGATCCATGTATTCGCTGCTGCTTGTAATTTGCTACAACTTGTAGGTCTGACTTTTCTCCAAGGTGCGGATATTGTTGCCATCTGTTTTCATCCATTTTATTAGAGATAATTGTCCTCATGGGTCCCAAGTTGACGCGCCTGAAATGAGTTACCTGCCCTCTCTCCCGTGGCCCCTCCCTCAGCCTCTACTCACTCGAAAGGGTCGCTGGGATCTGCCCTCTGGAGCTCTGGAGGGATGGGGATCCTTTTGTAGTACATTTCCCAGTCGAAGGCGCCTCGCATGGCATCCCCAGCTTGTGCCTCATACCCAAAGTGATTGTGGTCAATGACATCGATCATGGGGCACACGATGGTTTTGTGGTTTAGTGCAATTTGGTCTGAAAAATGAAAGCACAAAATAGGAAATGACATGCCCGCCTAGGCCATCTATCATTTTTCAGCAAAGAGAAGCCTATAGATCCTTCCTAATGCAGGGATGCTGCTTGCAGCCTGGTTTCCTGTCGTTGTTAGGGCACTTTGTGAAATCTCTTCCAAGGCTGGACTTAATGTGATGGGACAGTGATTAGGTACAATTAGTGTTGTCGTATTTTCCTTTAAGAAAGTTATGTTCCAGAGAGACTTGCAGAAGTCCATTTAGCTCTCCCTCTGTCACATTTTTGCTCTGACCTGTCCCCAATCTGTCATTTTATAGAGCATCCAACATGCGTGGAGTATAAACAGTACTTGTGTTCCTTCAAGCATACAGTGGGAGCTTGCTGAGAAAATATCGTCCTGCTTTCTGGAGGTTCCAAAATGTAAATATTTAACTTCATGATTCCTTTTTTTTAGCCTCTAATCTTAGGATGGTCATGATGGCTGTTCCCTACTAAATACTGATAGATCACACAGAGAATTCTTTGCTCTCAGGCTTACCATGTTCTATTTGGCTATTGTCCTTTGATATAGACTCTGTTTATCAAAGCTATACAGTTTTATCTTTTCTCATTCTAACCAAAAATATTTTAGCTGGCCTGATACTATGGTTCCTATTCCTGCTACTTTCACATTCTTGAGCAACTGCTAAGTGATTTACACTCTTGCTACTTCTCATCCTCCCAGCAACCCCATAAGGTGGCTACTATCGTCATTCTCAATTTACGAGTGAGGATACTGAGCTCAGAGAAGCTAAATAACTTGTCAAGGGTCACTCGTCTCTTGAGAGCAAAACCCAGGCTGCAACTCCTGCTTAACAGTCCAATCCTAAAACCTGGGGTCTTTCCAGTTCTCCATGGTGCTTCTCGGGTGATATCTTTTTCAGTTCCAACTCCTTCCTTTTCCATGAAGATAGTATTATGGTGAGACTTCAGCAGCACAGGGAACTGGCGTTTACACACTTTGCCTCACCTGGAACAGCTACAGGTGACGGAGAGTTGGCTATTGAACAAGAAGGGCTCGAACTGCTCAGGTCCACTTATAAATAGATTTTTTTTGGATACAGTACAGTGCTGTAAGTGTATTTTCTCTTCCTTATGATTTTCTTAATAACATTCTATTCTCTAGCTTAGGTTATTGTAAGAGTACAGTATATAATACATAATACCATACACAGTAAGTGTCAATTGACTGTTTCTGTGATTGATAAGGCTTCTGGTCGACAGCAGGCTATTGGTAGTGAAGTTTTTGGGGAGTCCAGAGTTACACGTGAATCTTCGACTGTGCAAGGGACTCAGTTGGTATTTATTATAACAAATATATTGTCTGAAAGAACTTTTAAGTATGAACATCTGCTTTCTGGTTATTTGGATGATCTGATGTGGCATGTGGAATAAAATACATTTAAATATCTTAAAAAACATCTTTTAGAAATAATGAGGTTTGGTTATTTCAGTATTATTATTTGGTGGCCCTGATAAGGCTGGGTGGGGAAGCCACAGAATCCTGTAGAAGATCTCTCCTGCATATTTATATGTCTGCCTGCCCCTCCCTCCCTCCCTCCCTCCCTTCCTTCCTTCCTTCCTTCCTTCCCTCCCACCCGCCCTCCCTCCCTCCCTCCCTCCCTCCAATTCAACAGCTATTTATTGAGTAGAAATTATATGCCTGCCACCTTTCTAGGTTCTGGGAACACAGCAGTGAACACCAATCACAAAAATCCATCTTTAGCAGTGGAACAAAGACAATCAATATACATAATAACTCTGAATTACATAGTGCGTTTGAAGGTGATAAATGTGATAGAAAGAGGATAAAACAGGGCAAGGGGAGTATGGAATGCTGGTATGTGGCAAGGTAAACAGCATGGCCCCAGGAGGCCTCTGAGAGCCTGGAGCTTACCTTCATATTATTTCAGCTAATTGGTAGACAGAGAGACCCCTAGCACTATTTCAGGTGATTCTTCAGCAAGCACCCTGTGAGCATTCATTTTCACCTGGGAAAGTCTTATAATGGGTTTTAATCTTTATCTAAGTGGTGTTTCCCCATAGATGTCTTTGGCAGAGGAAGCATCATTGCTGTGTCCAAAATATCTCTCCTAGCAACTCGGCAGGTATTTTAGTATTAAGGTTTCAGTGACTTTCTTCAATCAAATTCAGAATCAGGTTGATTTACAAGTTCCTTGACCAATAAGGAGTCCTAAGGTGACCCAAAGAGAATGAGTCTGTTAAATTAACTGTCAACTCTCCCTTCAAATTTCTTTTCAGCTCTCATCCAGCTGTTCTAGCTTAGGGTGAAAGCAGCATGACTAATTTTTCATCTAAGGCTTGTGCCTACATTTCAATTTCCAGGGATCAAACAAACAGACTCTTAATGGGAAATTGAAATTCAGGTATAATCCCAAGGTGAAAAATGAACCAAGAAACCGTGTGGCTCTGCCTGTTTTTCATTTTGGATGATGTGTCAGGACACTGATAGAGGAAAATAAAAAAAGATAGTGATCCTGAGCTTGAATCATTTCTTATCCATCAGGCCTACAGGAAATGAAATGCTTTAATGAGAAAAAGTGGGTTTCTCTTTATTTTATCTCTCTCTCTTCTCTTTTTTTTCCCCTGTTAGATTCATATGAACAATCAGAGGCTTGATAATTGGCATTTAGGAATTGCTTTGGTTCATAAATAAATTAGGCCTTTTGCTGACTTCCTTGAGTATTCAACACCATATAGGTCAAATTCAGTTTGCAGGAATTTCACTGTTGCTGATGAAACTCTAAATTGCTATGTCCTTGGACAAGGTACTTTTAATTAAAAGCTCAGAGGAGTCTCTGGCCGTAGGAGCACCGAGACATTCCTGTTAATTACGATGACTGAGCAGTCGTCTGTGTAGGTGTGTGTGGATCGGGTGATGCGATGGGGTATTAGTTGCTGGTCATTTCCTGTCTTAAATCCTACACAGTTTCAATTGATTTTCCCCCCACATCTTTTACTAATGGACCTTTGCTGGTTCTAGCTGAAATCCTACACAGTAGTCAATAGCAAATCATTCTTTCTGAGGCAGCTTATTGTAAAGGCAGTTTTTACTGGCTTTAGCTCCAAGGCCAGGGATAGATATATTTACAATAAAAGTTGATTTAGCGAAATCTGGAAGAATAAGAAGGAGTACAGTATGTGCACACCAAGAACTTTTAGAAACATATATTTTTTTTTCAGGTTGGCAATTTATTCCTCATCCACTACTGGACTTTATATCAGACTTCATGGTGAAATAAAAAACAAAATAGTCAAGCTCCAACTGAGCCACACATGTGTTTTCTAGCTTGAATGACTTAGTTCTTTCATGTTTCTAACAGTTCAAGTGTGATGTGACAGAGAGGCTTCTTCTTTCCTGACTCTGAGCCATATTGTGAGCATTAGAATGTGTCATCTGGATAGGAGCTCTGAGTGTTTCAGGGGGTCCTCTGTAAATTTGGGGGGTTATATATTTAGGGCTCTAGACCCATGCCAGAAGTGGAAAGGAGAACTGGCATTATAAATTCACGAAAATGTCAGGGCATTTGCACTTGAACTGTATTCTGGGGCTGAATAATTTTCTTTCCTCATTTCTTAGCAGTTCTATAATAATTGTTAAACTGTGTGTGTGTTTTAATCTTACTGTATATAGTGTCTTTTTTAAATATCTTATTTATTTATTTGTCAGAGAGAGAGAGAGAGCACAAGCAGGGGGAGTAGCAGTGGGAGAGGGAGAAGCAGACGCCCCGCTGAGCAAGGAGCCCGATGTGGGCTCGATCCCAGGACCCCAGGATCATGACCTGAGCCAAAGGCAGATGCTTAACTGACTGAGCCACCCAGGTGTCCTGAGATAGTGTTTTTAAGTACTTTTTTCTTTTAGTATTTACCTAGCCACAATAAAGAGAACGTCTAAACTAAATGAAACCATTTCAAACCTTAAGTTAGAGTGCAGTTGGTAGTATCTAAAATGGCAATTTTAATGCAGTTTTCTAGTTACCTATTTGTCCTCAGCTGTGGTTAAGACGGAATTCAAGGCTCTCACTGTAAAAACTGTTGAAGGGATCTCTCGCTTTTGTTGATTGCAAACTGAATAGAAGGGAGCCACATACTCCCTCTGAAGGAGGGCGATTCCCCAGGCCCTGCTGGTCCCCAGAAGGCCACCATCAGTATGTGTACTCACTAAGGAGCGGGGGCAGCCAGTTCACATTGACCTCGCAGTGGGAGTCCAGGAACGTCAGGACTTCTCCTCTGGCCATAGATGCCCCCAAGAGGCGGGTCCGGATGAGCCCTTCCCTTTTCTTGGTGCGAACAATCCTTACTTTGGAAAATCGGGCCATATATTCTTCTAACTTATCCTTCAAGTGTTCTAGGAACGAAGCAGAGAATGTAGAGAAAGAACACAAAACATTAATTGCAACAGAATTATCTGTGGGTGTTTATGCATTAAGTGTACGTGAATGATGAATCCAAGCTTACATCCATTTTTCTCCTCTCTTCATCTCGAGGGGAGACACTAATAAGATTTTAGGCCCATAGGTTTTTTTACTCTGTACTTTCCAAAAAGCTTCCTAAACTGCAAATACTGCCCTTTGTTTGAATGCTAGAAGACACAGACCCACGAGAGCTGTGCCATGAGATTACTTCCAGCCAGCTGCCAAGGGCTTAATCCTGGCCAGCATTCACCACGACGGGCACTGGCCCTCTGGTTCCCACTGTGTAAAGTCAGATGAACATTCCAGCAACTGGGCTCTTTTCAACAAGAGGTCTCTTTCCAGCAAAGCCATTCCTAGTTTCTGTGTCTTTGAAAATAATGCATGTAAAACCACAAGAAAAAAAAATTATATCTCTCAGATCAATAAGAACCGAACAGATTTTCCCCCCATGGGGTAATAGCAAACTAATAAAGACGTTCAGCATCTGGCTTCTGATTTGAAGTGTAAAAGTGACTAACTTGCTGTTAAAATTAGATGTGAAAAGGGGAAGGCGGATAGATACTACACAATCATTTTGAACTTAGCTATTTAAGATTAGAAAACAAAAATTTGAGAATGTCTCTTTGCCTAATTAAAAACAAACTGTGGAAACCAAATCGAATGAGATAGCTTATTTACAGAGAGAAAAGATCTCCTCCTGGCTGTTATAAGATATATCAATATCTTAGATCTTTAATGCCAAATAAGTGTGTTTGGTGTCTTTCTGTGGAATTTGTACTCATATAATTTACATCCCGTGCTTTTGTTCTCTCATATCTAAAGCATTAGGAGGGCTTCGCTGGAGTTTCTAACAAGGAACGTCTAATAGTCACAGAAACAGAAGCTTAGTATGCAGTATGTTCTGTAGTTCCACTTTCAAACTTTCTCTGCATGTGTGCAATCAAAGGCAATATTATTATTAAGTCTCCTCCTATGATCTGTAGCAACAGGAATTCACATAAGGATTTATGATTCCCTTCCCTGTGATCCAATTTAACAGATGTCAGAATTACTCATTTTGGAATTTTATACATAAGCCTCTATTTTTATTTTCATTTTCATTTCTTCCTATTAATGTTAGTGTTTTAAAAAAAATCTCAATTTCCAGGGCACCAGGGTGGCTCAGTTGGTTAAATGTCTGACTCTTAATTTCGGCTCAGGTCATGATCTCAGGGTGGTGAGATCCAGCCCTGCTTTGGGCTCCTCACTGAGCATGGAGCCTGCTTAAGATTTTCTCTCTCCCTCTCCCTTTGCTCCTCCCTCCGTTGTGAGTGCACGTGCTCACATGCTCTCTCTCTTTCAAAAAAAAGTCTTGGGGGGCCTGGTGCCTCAGTCATTAAGCGTTTGCCTTCGGCTCAGGTCATGATCCCAGGGTCCTGGGATTGAGCCCCGCATCGGGCTCACTGCTCTGGAGGAAGCCTGCTTCTCCCTCTCCCACTCCCCCTGCTTGTGTTCCCTCTCTCGCTGTGCCTCTCTCTGTCAAATAAATAAATAAAATCTTTAAAAAATAATCTCAATTTCCATTTTTTCTGACTGCCCGTAACTAGGCTTTACAAATAGATCAAGTAAAAAATTACTTAGTTTTCTGATTTTTCCTATGAAAGAATACTGGTGGGGTCTTTCACAAGAGTGTTTTAGCACAAAATAGGTTTCCTTCTATTTTGTTCTCCCTGTAATGAACAGAGCTATAGAGATCAGACTACAGAAAGCAAAGATTACAGATTTGGAGTCAGAATAGACCTAAGTGGGAGGTCAATACCAGTGAAATATATGAATATATATGAAATATCTTCTCTTACCCTGAATTTCCTCACCTACAATATACAGGGAGTTTCTCCTCTTAGAGTGTGGTGGGGTGGGTCCAGCTTTTGGTCAGAGACCTCACAGCACTTGTTCAGTAAATATTCACTAAGTCAATAATTGGAGACCTCCTAAGTCATGTGAGTTATGAAGGGAAACAACAGCATTTCTAGCTGAAGAAATGCCTTTGAATGCTCAGCCTGAAAGATGAAAAAATTAGAATTTTTATTTCTTGGTGAGATTTTGATAATTCTTCATCTTCTATTTATTGAAAATTTAAAGAATGAAAGATTTTGGCCAGCAATAAATGAACACATATAACTTTATGGCCGTACTGCAGGTGCTCAACAGAAAGGCTGGCTCCCAAGTGTCTCTGTCTCTTTAAGACAGGTGTGCCGTGCCAGAGGCCTACCTCCTGCCCCTCTCCTCTTTGCTTACCCCTTCCCTGCTCCCCTCTGTGCAAGCTGCACAGAAAGATTCCAAAGGGCTACACAACACAGTGCCACCTGTGAATAAGACCGGAGCTTACTAACCTGTTAGGGAAATAAAGCAGAGACCTGCAAGCCAGGTGTGCAAACAGAGGCAATGAGTAAGTGGCAAGTGATCAGTCCCAGAGCTCTCTATATGCCAGTCTCGAAAAGCTTGCATTCGGTCAGGGTTTCTCACATAAACGTTTAAGAAGACGCTGTATCTCATTACTGTAATTTATTCAGGCTCTGAAATCCTTCCGTATCTCCAACGCACAACTGTCATTCTATAAGTTTATTTGTAAACTGGTTGTTTGGACCACAGAAACATATTGTCTCCTGAAAACAGGGTCACAACAGTCATTGGAGATGGAAAAGAGTGAACATTTGTTAAACCCACCAAAACAGTGTTTGTTTGTGTTCTTTCATTAAGCCTCACTATTCTTTGGCAAGTACCACTGTGAGTATGGTCTTGGTCTTGGCAGTCTGGGCTGCAGGTACTTCTTTCCTCCCGGACCCCAAGGACTAATGGGGCCTCTTGGGGAGGACTAACTCTCTGTAGCTGTGTATGAAGAAATGGTTCTAGAAGCCAGTCACTTCCCAGGCGGTCTAACTTGGGAATCAAAGGGTTGTTGATCACCTGGGAGTGGTTGTCCCAACTTTGGGTTTAGATTTCCCTACTTTTTAGTTTATACGAAATTCTTTGAAACTCAGCGGAGGACTATCTCTACATGTCTCCTTTCCCTCTACGCACTATTGGATTCTGTGTATTTTTCTTTGATCAAAGCCCATTTTAACGTATGAAAAGAATCGTATGGTATGAATCCACAAAGCACAAAGGGTTTGACCCCAAATAGAGTCCCCTAATTGTTCAAATCAATTCTTTTAGTTTGAACTTTGCATTAATCATTAAGTTGCTTTGCCTCAGAATGATGATCCGGTTGACTGCCCTTGTGAAGGGTTCATTCTCTTTCAGTAGTTCAGTTGTAATTTCTAATTACCCATAACTCACAATGAAGACAGGTATCATCAGTCTAATTAGCAAATTAGACTCTCATACAGTGGAGTTACTGGGGATGGTGGAGATAGCTTTAAGAACATTTTGTATTTCTTTTATAAGAACAATTTCTAGATTCATTTCTAAAATATTAAAATGATTTTAAACATGATTTTATATGATTTTAATTCAAGCACAGTATCTTTGAATATCCCTTTTGAGCTTTAATTTTAGATAATGACAGGAGAATTTATGGTATTTTTATAAAGCAGGAAGATTTCTTTAGGGACTATGACACATTTGGGGAATCAGAAAATATAAGACCACTAGTTAAAACCCACTGAGTGGTATCCTGACAACCTGGACAAGTGAACACAACTTCAAATATGCCAGTTTTTGCCAGGGTTTATTGTATCATTGTGGGGCAATAGGGAATGAAAAGTTGTACTCAAGTGAAATTTTGGTGTCTTGCTACTGTGAATATTAAATTTAGCAGTTTTTTCAATGAATTTTCCTCTTTTTCTAGAGATTTCACTTATGCTCCATGGACTTATATGGAGAATCTATCATTCCACTTGTATATCTAATGTTAGGGGTAGCAACTAAACACTAAAGAAATCAACTTCATTGATTTGCACAGTCAAAAGTTGAGGACATGGGTTCTAGCCGTGTTACTGACTGGCCACATGACTTTGGGTGGGTCACCACACCCTATTTAACCTCATTTGCCTTAGCTATAAGGAAGGAAGTATGCCAATTGGTCTTAAATATTTCTTCTAGTTCTATGATTCTATTGTTTCCCCCTGTGAAGTTTTACTTACAGAGTAGATCTAACCCTATCAAGTACCTAGGTTTTTCACAAAAGCATCCTAATGGTTGGTATTTTGGTGTTTCTTTCGGCTATGTCTCATTTTTGAAAGCAAGAGTCAAATCAAGATAAAGCTAATGCATATCAAAGATTTAGTCAAAAAGCAAACTCCAGGGTATTTTCTTTGGTCAATAGAGCATCTGTCTAATCTCCTGTGGTTGACTGTCTGTAAGACTGTTACTAATGTCAAAATAATGATTTTGAAGCACCGTAAGTTCATCAAGGATTTACATCTGTTCAATAAGTTATGCTTATTATGTCAGAAAAATATAGTAACAGAGTTTAGACAGCTTTCTAGTCTACCTCTGAGTAACTGTTCCCAAAGGGACAATCTAGTGACTATCAGTATTATAGAGCATGGCCAGTGTGTCCCAAGTGGAGGACCCACCAAAGGCCAAGCAAACAGCTGCCCTGTCTCAGTGGCTTACTGAGGCTCAGCAACTTGTTATTCAGCTCCTTCTATCTCCTTTGAATTCCCTAATTTACATCCCAAGGGGAGAGCAGGAGGGCAAGGAGACACTATTTATCTGGAGATAGGGATTTCTATATTTAATTATATACCTATGGAAATGAAATGTCTTTGATGTGTATACTTCGGTGTTGGCAAAATGTAGTAGAGCATGACTTTAAGATTATATAGAATATGTGCTAGTTATGAGGTTTTTTTTTTTTAAAGATTTTATTTATTTGAGAGAGAGATTGAGAACAAGCAGGCAGAGGGGCAGAGGGAGAGGGAGAAATAGACCTATTGCTGAGCAGAGA